ATGTCAATTGGCCATTATGCTTCTTCAGCGTATCCGATATCTCTTTGAAAAGTTTGTCTTGGCAATTCGGAGTGATCGCTAGCTCATACAATGCAAATGACAAAGCAGTATTTGAAGTTTCTGTACCTTCGGCGAACAAATTTAATGAATGGCCCGATAATGTAGTGTCGTCGAAACCTAAAAAGTTCAAACGGAATATATAAACAAAAAATGTTTGCCAATGGAATGAAATATGAATGAAATTTTACCGTATTTCTTTTGGAATTGAAGATACAATTGGAAAAAGTCATGTCTTTGAACGTCGTCCGATCGAGAAGCTTTATTTGATGCAACTAAATTTCGAATAAAATGATCCACCGTTGCGGATGCGAAACTGCGTTATAAATGCGCAATGGTTGAATTAATTGAAAATGTGTTGATTTTGACGCTCATTCTATCAATTTTAATGAAATTTGGAAGGGACCAATCGATTTCAATGTAATTTTTAGAAAATACTCACGGAATGGGAATGAAATCAACCGCCCATTTCGGCACAATGGGCCATACTAAAAATTTCAATCCTGCCCAAAATGATGGCTCAAATAACTCCTTTACGTTTGACATAAATTCGGATTCAGTCTCTTTATTGAAACATAATGGATCAATACTGAATGCACATTTCACCAAGTTTTGTACAGCAAATCGCATTGCAAGCTGAAAAAATCGAAAAATGTCTTCATTTTGTTTCAAGAATTCCAAGCAAACACCAATAATTACATCTTTTGCAACGATGTCTTCATTGGATTGATATGATTTTATGAATTCAACAAATTCAGTACCAACTCCATTCATCACCGGCATCAAATTTTTCAACTAAAATCAAATAAAACATTTAGCAACCATTTCCGCAACTTTTTAAACGTTTACTTACTTTGCTGGATGAGAAAACTGGTGTAATCAATTTTCGTCCTTCTTTCCATTCCTCATCACGAGTAAAAAAAGGATTCAGGGCAGTTAATTCATCGTGCTTTTTACTGACATTAAAATCATTGCTACGAAAACTATTGAATTTTGTAATCATAATATCTTTAACCAAATCGGGATCACGCGCTACAATCGCTGGCTTCAATAATTTGTAATAGCCGATGTATGGTTGATTGGAAAATTTGCTTCATATGAAATTAAATGAAACGGGCACGTAATGTGTTAATTCAGTTTATGATCTCAATCAATCAAGCCAATTTATTCATTCACAATTTTTTGTATTTCTCGACGTAGACACATTTTACTCACTTATACAAACCCGTAATCACCAAACCCCAATGCTCCGAAAAAGTGAACATCGATCCAATATTCCCAACAAATGGTTTCGGCTCTGGACCTGGCACTTTATTCCGTTTCCAAAACGAATAATTCCATTTCAGCCAAATGTACAACAGAGTGATGACACCCAATAAAATTGCGATCGTCAACATTTTGCTAGTGAATATTCTTTGTCTTATGCGCACAACTATCTATATGAACTGAATGAAGGCTTCTTGATCACTGGCTTTTATAGAGAAGAAACAAACAATTCTGCCGATCTATATATATCTAATATATATATCATTGTCAAGTTGACTTGTTCATTTGATTAGTTCAATTCATCAAGCATGTTGTTTTGAATCAAAAGATATGGGCAGCACTTGTGCCGATAGCACTTGTGCACAAACTGTGATTTAAAATATACCAAGTATGTTACATTCGTTATCGGTATTTTTTAAGCACTCCTAATGATTCAACACTCTTTTTACTGGTGAGATATGGTTGATTCGCTATGAAGGGCGTGAATGACATAAATTTAACTTAGTGTTGATTGATGGCTCGGTATACCGTTTAACTAGAACAAAAAGGCACTCGACAAATGAACGTTCCAAGTCATTGTTACTTCTGATTTTCATTTCACACCGATTTGAAATACAATTAAATGATTAAATTTTTATTGATATTACTACCTTGGCCTTTGATATGACTTGCAACTTTTTCTAAACGGCGAAAAAACATGTGCTGCTTTCATTCGAATGTGATCTAAGTAAAGTATCCAAAGTACTTCATGATACCAAAAAGCAATTAAACACGTTCAAATTCATTGTCTTTATTAAGCATGTATTCAGACACCATAAAACAAGGTGAAATTTTAAAGTGAAATGGTTTCGTAGAGAATACATTAATTTGGTGTGCAATTGTGCATGCATTTAAGTTATGACAAGTGGAATTGAAATGTGACGTTGACAATACCAACGGCTGGTTACAAAATCGTCTAAAAATTGGACGTTTTTGTATTTAACCCAATATCAACTCGAATTAGTCTACATCAAAGTTAAATTGTGTATTCAACAAAGTACAGTTGAATGCGTTAGAATAAAAAGGGCATATGATACACTTTCGTACCGAAGCGCAACTCAAATCGTTCGCAGAACAAAGTGAAACAAAATCATGTTGTTATTTGTTTACGGAACACTAGAATATTGTGTGCAAACTATTTGTGTTTCGTTTTGTTCTGATAACATGTGCGGTGTGTCGTTTTGTTTTACCAACCAAATTGTATTTCACTTCGATACAGTTGCTTGCTGGTCTGATGCTGAAAATTAACGCGCAATAGACATTGAACACACAAACGAGATTGTGCATGTTCTGGCAACGTCGATTTGCAACCGATTATGAATGAGCGTAAATTTTTCATTACGTTCATTCATAATCGCTTAAAAAACAACGTTGCCAGAACATGCACAATCTCGTTTGTGTGTGCAATGTCTATTGCGCGTTAATTTTCAGCATCGGACCAGCAAGCAACTGTGTTGTTCGTCGAACAACCGATTATAATAC